ATAGGGTCCACAGGGATAGCTATATCTTCCCCAATTCTTATCCGATTCTCAAGCGGAGTACCTTAAACGATTTCTGGATCGATTTGCCACCATTCTGCATCAAAATCCTGAGACAACATATTTTTTAGATTTTTTGTCCATTTTTCGTGATGGATCCCTTGAAAATGAGGTTTTCCCCTATAGGGTCGACAGGGATAGCTATATCTTCCCCAATTCTCATCCGATTCTCAAGCGGAGTACCTTAAACGATTTCTGGATCGATTTGCCACCATTCTGCAACAAAATCCTGAGACAACATATTTTTTAGATTTTTTGTCCATTTTTCGTGATGGATCCCTTGAAAATGAGGTTTTCCCCTATAGGGTCCACAGGGATAGCTATATCTTCCCCAATTCTCACCCGATTCTCAAGCGGAGTACCTTAAACGATTTCTGGATCGATTTGCCACCATTCTGCATCAAAATCCTGAGACAAAATATTTTTTAAATTTTTTGTACATTTTTCGTGATGGATCCCTTGAAAATGAGGTTTTCCCCTAGAGGGTCCAAACGGATAGCTACATCTTCCCCAATTCTCATCCGATTCTCAAGCGGAGTACCTTAAACGATTTCTGGATCGATTTGCCACCATTCTGCATTAAAATCCTGAGAAAAAATATTTTTTAAATTTTTTGTCCATTTTTCGTGATGGATCCCTTGAAAATGAGGTTTTCCCCTATAGGGTCGACAGGGATAGCTATATCTTCCCCAATTCTCATCCGATTCTCAAGCGGAGTACCTTAAACGATTTCTGGATCAATTTGACACCATTCTGCATTAAAATCCTGCGACAAAATATGTTTTAAATTTTTTGTCCATTTTTCGTGATGGATCCCTTGAAAATGAGGTTTTCCCCTAGAGGGTCCACACGGATAGCTACATCTTCCCCAATTCTCATCCGATTCTCAAGCGGAGTACCTTAAACGATTTCTGGATCGATTTGCCACCATTCTGCATCAAAGTCCTGAGACAAAATATTTTTTAAATTTTTTGTCCATTTTTCGTGATGGATCCCTTGAAAATGAGGTTTTCCCCTAGAGGGTCCACACGGATAGCTACATCTTCCCCAATTCTCATCCGATTCTCAAGCGGAGTACCTTAAACGATTTCTGGATCGATTTGCCACCATTCTGCATTAAAATCCTGAGAAAAAATATTTTTTAAATTTTTTGTCCATTTTTCGTGATGGATCCCTTGAAAATGAGGTTTTCCCCTATAGGGTCGACAGGGATAGCTATATCTTCCCCAATTCTCATCCGATTCTCAAGCGGAGTACCTTAAACGATTTCTGGATCGATTTGCCACCATTCTGCATTAAAATCCTGAGAAAAAATATTTTTTAAATTTTTTGTCCATTTTTCGTGATGGATCCCTTGAAAATGAGGTTTTCCCCTAGAGGGTCCACACGGATAGCTACATCTTCCCCAATTCTCATCCGATTCTCAAGCGGAGTACCTTAAACGATTTCTGGATCGATTTGCCACCATTCTGCATCAAAGTCCTGAGACAAAATATTTTTTAAATTTTTTGTCCATTTTTCGTGATGGATCCCTTGAAAATGAGGTTTTCCCCTAGAGGGTCCACACGGATAGCTACATCTTCCCCAATTCTCATCCGATTCTCAAGCGGAGTACCTTAAACGATTTCTGGATCGATTTGCCACCATTCTGCATCAAAATCCTGAGACAAAAAATTTTTTTTTTAAATTTTTTGTCTATTTTTTGTGATAAAATACTTTTTTGTGTTTATTTTTTTTATCAACTGTGAATTTTGTAAAAGATTTGCATATGCCTTTAATTGATGGCCTATCAGCCGCATTAGCTGCTCATGCGGCATGTCCTTCAAATGTATCGGCTCCTGCTATTCCAGCAATCCCTTCATCCTGGTAGTTTCCCTTCAGGCGACAGCAGGCGGGCACTAATCCAATAGCTCTATGGATCATTAAGCACTGATTGCGTTTACGGTGCAGACAGAGAAACCCATAAACCTACGCATATACTAAGTAGGTACAGAAAAGTACACACTTTTAGATCGATTGCAAGGACATTTCTTGCGAAGCAATCACATCCCATATGCAGATTAACCCACTGGCAATGAAAAGGGGGTGTTGGGTGACCTGGCATCAATTATGCTGGAAAATCACCGGTTTTTTAGATGCATATAACAGCAAATCGATTTTACAATAAAAACGAAATTGAAGTGCAATTGTGCGAAGGAAAGTGTTAAATTAAATTTCCATCTTCGTCAGAAAAGTTACTATACTGAAAAAAAGGCTAGTAAAAGTTTTGTTATTTGAAACTTTATTATGATTATTTATTATCAAAACAATATTCTCTGGCTTTTGTGTTCCCTATACACTTTTTTATATCCTTTTTTTCGTATAAAATTATTGTATGATTTTCCACTGTGTTAACTACCCCTCCATACGGATCCTTCATTCAAATGAACCGCAAAGTAAATCTGCATTTGATTTGTCGTCCTGGCGCACATGTTGCAAAAAAGTTTCGGCGGCAACTGTCGCCACGAAAGGTGACACACAAAAATAGAAAAACAATTGCCAATTACGGACGAGCAGTTTCCGAGGATTCAACCACTGCCCCCGTAACACCACCCCAGATCTCGACCCGCCCTACCCTCTCCGGTAGCCACCAGCATGGCCCATAAACAACAGTCGTAACAAAGGAAAAACGGAAAAAAGAAACAATCAGCAAGAAGGAAAGCCACAAAAAAAATTGTTGAGGGGTGGCATTGGGCAGCCGGAAAAACTATGAGGAAAATCACTTTTGTGCTCATAAATTTCAATAATAAAAATTTGAATGCAGTTGACACGACACCGAAACAGGCATTTTCTGCCCCCTCCACGGGTTTATCCCATTTTCTCCCCCTCCATTTCGGAGAAGAGCCACAAACAAGGTTAAGTGAAATAAAAATCAGTGAAGTGCATAAACAAGGTTCAAGGTGCGGGTCGTGTCGGGTCGGAGGATTGGATTTAGATCTGGATCTGGATCGGAGTCTGGATGCTGCTGCACCACCGGGTAATTGAATTGGCTTGTCGCATTTTGTTGAGAACATGCAACCCTTTTTTTGTCCATCCATTGAAGGAGTTATGGTTTTGCATACATATGTACCACCCATATGAATATGGTCAGATTTGGACTCGAACCGAGTGCGGCTTACCTCAATTACTGGCATATGGAAAGAGAATTCGGGGTGACAACCTCAATTAATATTTGCGCTTCAAGTGCAAATACGCTAATCTTGAGTTCAACGTTACGGAATTGATAAATTTTGTTCTCATGGAAGTACTTATGGGAAAGAGAAGCTCTTGTTGCAACTGGGATAATATTTAGATTTAAAAAATAACTGTATTCATAATTTTTTGGTAAAAAAATATGGCGAAAATTTAAATAAAAATCCTAAATCTTGTTCAAAGATTTTAGTTTCCTACAACTCGAGTTATTTGTACTTTTCAAATTTAAAAGTTTTATAATCTGCCTATTAAAACTAAGAAATAATTTATTTTTTAATAATTACTTCGAGTTAAAACAAATAATTTCATCCTCATAGAAATTGTGCTAGACTTCACTTTTCTAACATTCAAACTCGCGCCAAACTACTATCGATAGTGAACTATCGATAAAATATAAATCCACCATATTACTAGAAACACAAAAACAAAGGCCGACAAAAATTCACGTTTATGAAAAAACTAATATTTTATTCTGGTTGTTGTTAAAGACAGAATTATCAGGTCTAGATGCAGTTTACTTCTTGGCCTTCTTGGGATCTCCCTTGGCGGCATCTTCGCTCTCAGCGGCCTCCTTAGCCTTCTTAGCGCGAATGCCAACCAAACGAGCATCAGTACGAGCCTGGAATTATGACAAATAGTTAGAATTACGGCTCTATATCTTTTTATAAGCGTAAAACATACCTTGCGCAGGGTAGCGAAAGCCTGGAACTTCTTCTCGTCCTTGGTGACATCACGGAATTCAACCACAGCGGGCTGTTCGTTCTTGATGGGCATGATGGGACCCTTAAGCTGGGTAGCCAGCTTGCACTCCTCGAGGGAGGACTCGCCCTTGCGAATCTTCTTCTCGTTGATGGGGAACAGGATCAGCTTGCTGCGGTACTCCTTCAGGCGCTGGATGTTGCGCTGACGCGACTCCAGAGATTTGTTCTTGCGCCTACGGTCCACAGAAATGCCGATGGTCTTGGCGAATCCAGCGCTAATGCCAGCACCCTGAGGGTTTAAGAAAAGTGGAGGGTTAGTGGTCGGAACGATGTTTCTGTTTCCGCACTTACCTTCAGCTCCTCCAGAGTGAATCCACGGCCAGCACGCAGCTTTGTGTGGTAGCGGATGGTGGGGCAACGGACCACTGGGCGCAGAGGACCGCTGGCAGGGCGGGGGAAGACGGCCTTAGCCTTCTTGACGCGGTTCTGGTGCCTGCGGAGCTTGCGCGCGGGCTGGTTGAACCAGGTCTTCACATGGCGCTGCCACCATTTGTGGTAGTGCTGGTTTGGAATCATATTGTTACCCTTACCCATCTTGGCGGATTAGATTGGCTGCAACACAAGAGAACACCAAAAACGAGCATTATAAAAACAATCCAATTGGTAAATGTTTGTTTGCAAGTGTGTGTATGCGGCATAACCTTATCCCACGTGGCTGGACAATTTTATTGTTTTAGTCGTGAATAAACCACATTTTGCACCATTTATGGATTACAACACATATCCCCCAATGTCCAGCACACATTGCACATGCGATTCATTAATTTCATTCCCATTTAAAGCTTATTTTCGATAAAATTCGAGACGCACAAATTCTCACACACCTTTTCTTCCCAAAAACGAATCAAAAAGGAAATCGCAACCAACTTCACGTCGTAGAATCAACGAAAATTTCCCTCGAAAAATTCCCAGTGTCGACAACGAAATTTCCCCAGCTATCGATTGGTGATGCAATCAGTGTTACAAAGAGTTTTCACGAATTCACATTAATTCCTGTCGAATTAAGCAATTAATGTGTGAAAACGCTGCCCTAATGTTCAAGGAGTGATAAAAAAGCAAGTTAAAGACAAACGAGAGCATTTTAAGCATTTATTGGTGGTTAATGCCTTATCGATTGACTGTGCTGTCGCGTGGCAACTCTGAACTGTACTTTTTGATACAGATAAAAACTATTGACGATCTATCTATAATCGGAAAATTGCGCGGTATTTCTGCATCGAAAGCCAATCGTAGTCGATTCTGAAACCCAATCAAAACAACAGGCGGTTTCTTATTATCCAGGAGCAATTCGAAATGAGTGAAGAGGTGTCCCCCTCGCCTGTCGCCGACGTACGGCTCAGCGACATCAAGTACGAAGATGTGTCGGCGTTGAATTTTTCCAAACTGTACTCGCCGAAGATGAAGAGTGTTTACTGGCGCTTCTTCGGTTTCCCCTCGAACGACAACAACGAGGTAATCACCAAGCAGAATGTTGTCTGTATTAAGTGCCACAAGGTTCTGACCAACCACGGCAACACTACCAACCTACGGGCCCATCTCCAGCACCGCCACAAAGATCTGTTCAAGGAGCTATGCCAGGAGCACGATATCCAGGTGCCGCCTCGCAAGACTCCGCGCAACCTCACCCATCCGCCTCTGTCCAAGCGGAACGTATCCTCTCGCCGGGTCAAGTTGGAGTTCATAAACAACCGCAATCACGACAACGCCTCTGATGACGATGATGAGGCCGCAGCGGCCACAGCTGCCATGCAAGCGGAGGAGGATGCCTCTTCACAGACCATGCTGTATGAGACTATGGTGCCGTTTACATACGATGAGGCGGATAATTTGGTGGAAGAGGAGGAGCGCATGGTGTCCATGGAGCCAAAATTCGTCCGCAAACGTAAGGTGGCCACTCCATCATCCGCCCTACAGCAGTTACGGGCGGTCAAGCACGAGGACGGTGGATATGTGTCAACACAAATTGCCAACTTGGCAGAGGCTCTAACTGACATCATAATCAAGGATCTGCGTACTGTAGACTCTCTGTACGACCCCGGCTTCAGCGATTTTGTGCGCCTGGCTATGGGAGGTTCTACTCCTATGCCGGAAGCAGAGAAGATTGACTCGCTAATCAGCGAGATGCACGCCTCGAAGTTCCTCGAAATTGGGGACATCACTCGCGACTTTACGTCCGAGAAGCCATTCTCGTTCGCCTTCGAGCAGTGGGTGAATGTCGAGCAGCGCCGGTTCTTGAGCATCTTCCATCACTACCTGGACGAGGAGACACAGTCGGTGCGAAGCATGTTGTACGCAACTGTGGAGTACACCGATTATCTTGTCTTTGACGATCTACTGACAGATTTCTATTTGGCCAACTGTACCTTGGCCATCGTCAACTACGAAGATGACGAGGATTTCCTGCACACATACCTTAGGGAGAAGAGTAAGTGGACCGGAATATGATCCATTTAAAGTCCTAACTAAAATATTATGTCTTTTATAGATATCCCAGTGGTGCTGTGCTACGTTTCCGTTGTTGATAAATGTCTTCGCCGCGTTTTCGAGATCGAGGAAGTAGCCACTCTCTTGGAACAGGTCAAGGACATTATCCAGCGACACTCTGCCGAGATCAGTAGCAAGGTATCGGAGTTACCTTCCTATAACGAGCATTTCCCATGGACGCTGTACGAGCTGCTCAAATTTTTCGCCGAATCCATTTCCTGGTCCGAGGACATGGATCAGCTGGTGTTGACCGCCAAGACCGTAACAGAGGCCCTCAGTGCTCTGGTGGTATGTTATCTTCTCGAATTTATGGGTCAAAGTAATTTTAATTGATTGAGTGTCCTTTCAGATTGCCTTGGATACCCTCCGTGGCGAGGATATTCCTCTGTGCAGCATGCTGTCACCTATTACATCGAAAATTCTTATCAAGAAACTGGGAATCGCAGAGCAGGATGATCCACTGATGATGAACATTAAGCGGACCATCGCTTCTGTGCTGCAGGCACATGTCATCTCTGACGACAACTTGACAGCTGCCGCTCTGCTGGATCCCCGCTTCCACCGTCTGACCACCATTGATAATCTGGACAGATGCGTTCGTATGCTGACCCAGAAGTACAATAAAACCTTTGGAAGTTCTGGGGGCAGTGAGGTTAACGATTCTGCGGCTACCACATCAGTTAATACCACGCCAACAGTCACCATCAAAGCAGAACGGCCCACAGGAAGTGGTTCCAGAAAGTCAAGTGAGTATAAGAAAGATTCCCTTATCCCCGGCTTTGTAACTAACTGGATACTCTTGTAGAACTGGAACTTCTTTTCGACATCGCTGAAATCCCGAACCCCCCAAAACGTGACGTTGACGGTACAGTAGAAACCGATCTGAAGCGATACCGCAACGAAGTGGTAGTCCAACTTGACGAATCCCCGATCGAGTGGTGGGTCAAAATGGGCCACATCTATGGAACCCTGCGCGACCTGGCGACTCTTTATCAGAGTGTGCCTGGCGTGGTGACCCTTAGTTTTAAGAAGATGCTCAGAGACCAGATATATGACTTCAATAAGCGCTTCATGCTTACCGGCAACCAAATCGATGCAATTCTCTTCCTGCACCATCACAGCAATTAAACGGACCTACCCGCACAACTCTGTTTTTATATCGTATAATTATTTTAAAACTATCTTAAACTTATTCCGAAATTATATATATATGACAACCAGGGGCACTGCAAATAAACCGCAAAAATTTGCACTTAAATGAAAGAGGAATAACAACCAGACTAGACCTATGGAGCGGTTATCAAAAATTCAAATATATATATATATATATACACCAAATTTCATCGGTAATTTGCTGGCCCAATGAATCACCTAAAGTAAGATTAATTGTTAAATAAAGTAACTACAACCCATACCAAATCCATTTTAAATTTTTAATATACATACGTATTTTTTTGCGGTTTTCAAGATATGTTTTGGATGACGTGTTTTGAGCTCTCAAATACTTAATATTTTTAAAAGTTCTTGACAAAATATAAATGATACTTGTCACTTCGCTCTAAGCTTATTTCAGTAAAGAAAGTCGGGTAAGATACTTCAAAATTTTATTTTTTGTGAAGCAGTGTCATTATAAACATTATATTTTGGCCATGTAATATTACACTTATTTTTACATGAGGGTATTTTACAAGGGATGTTTAAATTTCCCAAGAAAAAGTTTCCATTATTACTGATTTTGTGAATTTTGTACTTGGACAACTCCAATGTTGTTTAAAAATAAATAAATTTGAGTATTTTATCCTAAACAAAACAAATCCTTTAATATTATAATATTAATAACAAAATATTTGAAAAACTGTAGCAGGCGTAATTGTGATGGGACCAAATTTAAAAGATAGCTTTGATAAGAAAACTTTATCGATAAAGTTTCAATTATTAAAACGTCATAGTTTTATTTCGACGTTCATTCGTTAGTTTTCAGTAGATAATAAAAAGAGTGACGTTGAACAAAAGAAGGAAGCTTAAGTAAAAAAAAACATTTTTAAAAGTTTTTATTCGGGGCGATATATCGATGATTCAGACTTTATCAGGAACTTCGATGATTCCCCCACCTCTATCCGCTGCAATTGCATTTTGACACAAAAGAAGCTTAAACGTATTATATTGCAGCGATTAGGAGATTTTGTGGCTAACGGCGCCTATCCTGCTAGGAGTAATGCTCTAAAAATGCGCCGACAACGTGGGTGTGACCGCTGTTGCCTGTAAACTTCGTTTGTTGTCAGTTGAAGGGACGGAACGGAAAGGACGGACGGAGTGGCTCGGAAGCCCAGTGAAAACGCCTACAGTAACGAAGCAACAACTGTATACAATAATCCGGCAACTGTGTTATCGCAAGAGGAAATTCAAGTCTCGTTTTCTGCGTGGGTGCGGTGGAAGATGTGTGGCATGGATGTGCGCCGGTTTTGCGAGGATTGGAGGATCTGGATTCGGCCGTTACTGATCGTCACATACGTCATATTCGCGATTATAGTAGTGCCACTGCTTATTGTTAACTCCGTGAAGGATGGTTTTCAACGCAACGATCAGCTCATCCTCATCGGCGGCTTGTTCGTTCTGTCTGCGGTGCCCGTATCGATATGGCACATCATCCAACACGTCATCCATTTCACAAAACCCATTCTGCAAAAGCATATTATACGCATTCTGTGGATGGTGCCAATCTACGCCCTGAACGCGGTAAGTATGTCACGTGAATCTGAGACCACAAGTCTCAAAATCAAAAATCGAAATCTAATACTTTCTGTTCGATGCAGTGGATCGGCCTCTTCTTTCCGAAGCACTCCATATACGTGGATTCGCTGCGCGAGTGCTATGAGGCGTATGTGATTTACAACTTCATGGTGTACCTGCTCAACTACTTGAATCTCAACATGGATTTGGAGGCCACCATGGAGTACAAGCCGCAGGTGCCGCACTTCTTTCCGCTCTGCTGCATGCGACCTTGGATAATGGGACGCGAGTTTATCCACAACTGCAAGCACGGCATCCTCCAATACACGGTTGTGAGGCCAATAACAACCTTCATCTCAGTGTGAGTTTCCCGCGGGAATCTTTCTATGGCGCATCCATTTTAACCTTATCTCTTAGAATATGTGAGCTGTGTGGCGTGTACGGGGAGGGAGAGTTTGCTGGTAACGTGGCATTTCCATACATCGTAGTCGTCAATAATATCTCCCAGTTTGTGGCAATGTACTGCTTGGTGCTGTTCTACCGTGCCAACAAGGAGGACCTAAAACCCATGAAACCCATCCCAAAGTTTTTGTGCATCAAGGCTGTGGTGTTCTTTTCGTTCTTGTAAGTACTGGCATCCCAAATATTTACTTTTACTTATTTTGACCTTCAATTGCAGTCAAGGAGTGCTTCTCAATGTGCTGGTGTATTATAACATAATTAAGGATATTTTTGGATCGGATGTGGGCGACACAAATTTGGCATCGCTTCTGCAGGTTAGTTTCTAGACATGTAACCCTTTAAAACCCTGTTTTTACGACAGCGACTACGTTATCGCAAAAACTTTCTCTTTACCAAGTTGCCAAAAATAAACATGCTCTTGAAAAAAGCAGATGTGAAAAGTGAAAGTTGCCTTTCAGAGTTTGTAAAAATTCTAATATTAAAACTAATCTCTTCACAGAATTTTCTCATCTGCATCGAGATGTTTATTGCTGCCGTGGCGCACATCTACAGTTTCCCGCATCACCCCTTCCACATCAATTCGCCACAGTACTGGAACAATCCAAATCACAGCTGGTGCCGGGCCTTCCTATCCATGATGGACATCTCGGATATGCAGGAGGATGTCACCGAACATCTGGGCGTTGTGGGTAGTACGTTAAGTCGTCGCTTCCAGGGTCGCAGCACATATCAGCCACTGGCCCGCAGTCCCCGACGTTCCAGCAGCGAATCGGAGTATCTGATCAGTAAACGCCAGGACCAGCAGCAGCAGCAGCAATCGGGCAACTCGTCGCAATCAGGTAACATGTATGGCGCCACCTCGAGCCGTCTGATCGTGCCCGTGTATGAGGGCAAGCTAAGCACTCTACCCGAAAACAATCATCCTTCTCACACCCAATCTCGATTTCCCCAAGCAGGCATAGCCGACGATAGCAACAGTAGCAATAGCAACCACTACCAACAACAACAACTACATGTGACGGGCTCACAGCCGTCAACGCGTCAACGTGATACGCTGCACCTGCGTGAGCGTGAGAGAGAAACGGGGGCGGCAGGCAACTTTGTGCGTCTGGCGCCCGGGGCCAGTGCAGCGGCGCCCATTCCTGAATCCAACGACGACTATGCCCTACTGTTGGGGACGGGCGCAGGCAGGTGACACCGCTACCAACAGTATCACTACCAGCCCCAGAACCATCACCATCAAAACCTGCATATCGACGATGCCTTCGAGGATGAGGATGGCGTTAATGTTTCATCGCTTAGCGCCTCCCTGTCTGTATCGTTTGGCATGTCGAGTAGCCTAAAGTTTAGCGCCACTGGCAGCAACCAGACGGCATCCGAGTGGTCTAACTCAACGGGCGGGGATGACGACGATGACGAGGACAAAGACGGGGACGGAAACGATGATGATGGGGGAGAACAGCCTGTTGTCGTAGTTGCCACAACGACGCGACGTCGCCGCGATCGTGAATACATCACCTAGACTCCAGACTAGACCTTAATCTCTTTACTTACATGCTACACTTATTATTTTGCCCGTATCTTGATTTTTAATAGCTAAAAAATACTCATGAAACGAACCCTTTCTTTCTGCCGGCCCCATCAGATGGGGTCTTTGAAATCGTGGCCTTAGTTTTGAACGCAAAAAGGAACGACTAGTTTTTCATTGGCACACTCAATTAGATCCATTCATTAAACATAATCCAAAGAATCATCATACATATGTGCGAAATGGGGGTTAGATGTTTTGTAAGTAAATTTTATACGCTAGTTTTGTAGGCGGAAATTATCCCGAAAAAAACGTAATTTTTATAATTTACATCCCCGCATAGTTAAGACCTCGAAATTTTAGTGTGGCGAAGTAGTTAATTGAAACCGCGCCTGAACCGATTGTGAATTTTGTGACTGCCGCCGGTCATAAAAGGGCGTGACTTGTATTTAAAATATAAATCTTATTGTAATACTAATATACACCGTAATAATATAATATTGAAAACTATTCTCAACTGCCTTTTATGTTTTTATCATTTGAATTTTTTAATTTAAAACACTTTATACAGCACGCATTATCATTACAATGCATACTTTTAAGTTTAAGCTTTCACATTTAATACATAAATTCTTATCGTTTCGATTCTCGCTAATCTCAGACTTGATAAGAGAAATCTGACGAATTCGCAATATCATTGACCCCTCCTTACATTCCGTCTGAAAGGGACCTTGGTGTTATCATTTTTATCTTTTTATCACACATTCCCAGCGATAAAAAACCAAATTTTTAGCTAGTATTTAGTATTTTTTATAATTAACATTTATTGAATCATTTGTTTAGCACTTCCATGTCTTTTCATAATACTTTTATTTTATGTTTAAACGAAGATACAAAACGAAACAAACATTAAATTATAATTGTCGGACACGATGACAGAGGTCTGCAGTGAAAACAGACACAAAAACGAAGTACATTTAAAGGCATATACACGGAATTCACGTTACGAACATAAATCAAATTGAATACTAAACGCTGATAATAGAAAAAAACAAGTAAACCAAATATCAATCAACATCAATTAAAAACAAATTCAGTCCAGTGATTGCTTCTCGTGCTGCGTGTGCATAATTGTAACGAATCCCAGTAAAATTTCGACGCGTAATGCCCCCAAAATGGAAGGCACACCGATTGCTTTTTATATGCTATATATGCTATATATATATACACGCAGCTACTGCTCCGATCAGTTGTTGTAGTTCTGCCTGCCACCCAGCTCGAGTAGATATCGATCCGGATGGTCCATCCAGTCGGCGGCCGTGAGCTTCACCGTTCGTTGTCGTTCGGCCTCCTTGATCTGCCACTTCTTGATGTCCAATTGCACTTCGCGTGATGTCTTGTCGCCGCAGCCCCAGACCTGTGGATGATGATAGAGGAGAGCAATGTGTAGTTCTTGTTGTTGGTAGAGAGTGTTGTTGTGAGTGGTAAGGAGAATCGTAGACTTAGTTTAAATGCATCGTACGAACACACCTGGCCATTAGAAGGAACAGGTGTGTGGTTTTTAACCGCTTAGACTGGAGAATATGACGTGTGTGTGCAATATACGTCTATAAATTTTACACCATATACCATATATGCATATACACATATATAATATATACTCTGTTAAATAAGGCTATTGTACATGAATATAATTAAAGTAAAAAAATATACAGATATATGATAAAGGTGGTTTTAGCATTGCTGGTTTGGTTTATATACCTCTATTGACATTAGTCCTGCTGCTAGACCCTTGCAGTCAACGTTCTCAAAGTGCTCATCGACCGCTATGATGGGCTTGCGGGGATCCGCGCCGGCACGCAATCCCTTCGGGTAGCCGCGTATGCTCGTGTTCAGATATAGAATATTGGGCTTCTTCTCCAGTATCACAAACCTTTAACAAACATAATTAGTAATTACTGGGCCAGTTACTAAACGAGCGCTACCCACTTAGGCAGCAGCTGAATGACGCAGCTTCCCTCCCCGCCCACAAACAGGTGCGTCTCCTTCCATTCACTGGGTGCAGCAATGCAGTACGTCTGCTCGTCCTTGGTGTGCAGCAGTACAAGTGTGGGTCCCCGGTAGCCCAGAACGTGATGCAGAAAACGATTGGCACCTACTCCGTGCTCGTTGGAATCGTAAAGTAGCGTCCAGTGCGACGGAATCATAGACAGCTTCTCTTTAAAGATTTGCACGACTGACGATGCAGTGCTATTGTTGTTGCTCTTGCTTGCGGGCGATGGTGCTAAAGTCTGTGGTTTGGAGTAGAGTGGCGGCAGAGCTCCCGCCAAGAGCCATGCCTGTGAGAGTGGCATCAGGGAGTCCAAAAAACCTGCACCTCCGCTGTGGTCCGTAGTGTCCGTGAACGGATTGCGCTGCTCAAGCACCGGGGTCTGCAGCTCGATGCCGCATGACTGCGTCTGTTGTTCCAGACCGCGATAGGCGGTGGACAATGTATGAACGCAGTACTTGTGTACTAGCAGCACGAGGCGGATGAGGTTCTGCTCAAACCAGCGACACACGTAGCCCAGACTGAGGCTGTCGTGGCAAAGAAAAATCGACTTCGTTACGGAGCCAAAGGTGCGGTTGATGGCGGGGCACAGAACAGCGTTGCCCGAGTGCTGCATGGCAATGGTATAGCATATGTGTAGCAGACGAGTCACGCCCGTTTTGTCGATAAAGTCTGGATTGTCGTCTTGCGAATACATCTTTATGTAGCACTCCAACGTCTTTGCATCGTCCATGATGCCTAGAAAGCGCTCACATTGCTGTCGAAAGGCCACGGCGCCCAGATGCTTGGTGGTGGCCTTGGAATTCGAATGCATCAACCTGTACAGCCGTTGGCCCAAATCCGCGTACTGCGGAAAGACTTGTGACTGAAGAGGGGTGATTTTTATGAGTGGGCCCGAGCTGATAACATTGCCAATTACTCACCACAAAGACGTCTGACACTATACCATTAACGCCGAACTTGGCCGACGACTGCTCTCTGAGAATTTCGGCCAGCTTCTCCACTGGCACCAACTGGGTAAGGAATTTCTCGGTAACATCTGCCCCGGAGGCGGACCTGGTCATCGAGCCTTGCGCCTGCTGCACCATTAGGCTGTTATTGCTGCCGCCTACGTCAGAGCTGCCGCCACTTGAAGCAGAGTTTGTGCTGCCTTTGTGCTGGTTCTGGACCTGTAGCTTGGCCTTGTGCTTCCCCCCCTCCAGGGGCGGCTCGCTGGCGTCCGACTCCCCCTTTGAACTGGTGTTGCCCATTTTCGCACTGCTTCACCGATCGAATCCAACTTCGACGCAATTAGTTTGCCAGCGATTACAACTACAGGGCATAAAAAAGGCCAAACGCAGGTTTGCACTGAAATCGAATTCGCACCAACGAATCGGGCAACAGGTGCAGGAACGTTTTTTGCCAAAAAACAACTGCGTCGCGGTGGCTAAACCTGTTATGAAACACACAAACACAGTGCTAACAAATCAGGTAAATAAATTTACATAATTAAACGCAAATTAAGCTTCGATACAAGAAAAGAAAAACGAAACGAAAACAAACCAAACAAAAGCCAGCGGTCTATCGATAACAGCAGCAGCGTTTTGGTATGTTGCTCAACACTGGTCGCGGTTATACGAATAAACTATTAAAATATTATTTGTATATTTTTACTGGGTTTTGTTCTATTTATATTATATAAAAGCTCATTAAAAGGCTTTATTACCTTAAACATAATTCCAATATAAATAAATATGAAAAATTATTGTAATTTTGTATATTCATGAACTGCTAGCGGCATAAACTAGAAAACAAGTTTTTCAAAAGGTAAACAAACTTTCGCATGAAATGGTTGGGCCAGCGGGTACTCTTCAAAACAACGGAAATTCTGACGAAGATGAGGATGTACGATCGGCACCCACTTCCACGTTGGTGCTGGACGCCAAGCGAAAGAGTGCTTTTCTGCCGTACCGTCCACAGTCCACAGTTCTCACAAATCTACAGCGCGGCAACACGGAGGCCACCTTTTGTCCTGTCGAGGTCTCGCTATCCTTCCATGAACGCGCCGGCCAAGGAGAGATCACAGACGAGCAGGTGACAGCGGAAAGAGGACGTCTTGCAGATATTGACTTCAAGGACGGGCATGGTTTCACCGCCCTCCATTGGGCTGCATCCTATGGACAGTTGGTATCAGTGCAGCTTCTGGTTGCAGCTGGCGCCAACGTAAATTTCATGGCACCAGATCTAGTCAGTCCTCTCCTCTTGGCAGCCGCCGGCGGGCACAACGAGATTGTTCGTTTTCTGTTGGATCACGGAGCGGAATCGACGCACATGGACATTATGGGAAACACAGCGCTTATGTACGCAGCTGCTGGAAATCACCCTCATACCTGCAACGAGTTACTGGCCAGGGATTTGGATCTGAGTGCCTCTAATGAAAACGGGGACACGGCCTATTCTTTGGCGGTGCAGAATGGTGCTCACCTGGCTCAAGCTCTGTTGGAGCAATACATGACGGGTATCATTACGGCGGGTATTACTTTATAATTAAGATGGGCATTAATTTTTAAGTTATAAAAGTCAATTTGCAATTAAAGTTCAACGAGATCTATACGTATTCGTAAAGATTTCTTATATTTCTTATATATTCTAAAACTCAAACATTTTATTCTTGCTTTTGCGCGTCTGTTGCTCCTTGCTAAGAGTCCGTTCCTGAGCCTGTAACGTGGCTAGTTCCTGCTTTTGATTGTGCATTTGTGCTTGAAGGCGTTTTTGAAGCTGTACGTCGCCGGTGTTTCGATCCAGAGATTGTTGCACCTTTGCGATATCTCGCTGCTTCCTACGAATATCATCAGCTATACGGACCGTCTCTACATTAAGCGTCTTTGTTGAGTGCTGTTGTAAATCATTTCCTTTAGGCTTTTTCGACTCCGGTTCTGTCTGTTGTTTGTTCTCACTTCCTAGGACGCTGCTGTTAAGAAAACTAAAGACATCCGTCCGTTGAGATTCCCGGACGTAGGCTTTTTCATTTGCCTTTTTTTGGCGGCGCTGGGCTCGTTGTAATTTCCTCTCTACACTGAAGTAATCTTTGTCACCGTTTGCAGCCTCTCTTAGCTCCATGCAAGCATCTAAGGATCGACCTTTTGGTAGAATCTGCGCACTTACAGGTGTCACAATCCCTCTGCCATCCGATCCAAGTCCTGTTCCGTGTATGTAGCCCATCTTCTCCATAAGCTTTGAGCCTATGCCCTGAAAAATCAGAATTTGAAGTATACTCAGCATTTTATGATATATTTTAAAGTCTTACTCGGGTGTACTCCTCCCAGGCTCCCAATTTTTCTGTCGGCTTGAAAGTAAACAAACTTAGTTCCACCATACGAGCCCTTCTGGCAGCTTCAAAGTCATCCATATCCGATTCTGCTTCATCGCTGCTCCCATCATTCACACTAGAGCTGTCTTCACTGGTGAGCTCATCCTCCTGATCAGTGGTCAGGGGAAAGAGCTCCTCGAACTTGAAGTCACGCTCCCTTTCTTTGTGCTCCTGCCCATCCAAACGCACCCGGCACACCTGCTCCACAAAATTTACGCATAGAACCCGGCCTCTATGCCACAATCGATCTGGGAGTTGGGCTAGCACTGGACAACTGCGAGATAATTTGTGAAAATCGGGCTGGTTGTACTTGCGGATGGAGCTTCCGGCGACGAGTGCGCCGTGGGAATACCGACACCGTGTCTCGTCAAATCGGCACTCTCCCTCGAGGTAGTAAGAACAAGGCAACATTTCGCGATGCGTGGGATTGGTAAAAAGTACCCTCAACCGAGCGTCCAAGACGCCTTCACCGTTGATGATCACCTCATCGTCCACACCGCAGATGATTGCGTTGTGGTAGCTTAAGGCGCCCCAACTATGTTCGTGTGGGGCCGAGCACTTCTCCCCCACCATTGAGGTATACTTGTTCCGTAGATCAGCCAACTGCTGCTCCTCGTTTTCATTGGATTTGGAGGCTCCCACCGCCTCCATATCGTTGAGTTCGCTTTTAAGCCGCTCCAGCTCATCATCCAAGTTGTCTGCATTGTCGGCAGTTGCTGCATCCTCAGTTCCTTCTCGGGTTAGTGATAGAAGCTCCTGTAGGTTTCCTTTTAAGGCTAGAAGTTCCTGGCGCTGATGCTCATCGGTGGCATTTTCCAACGCCTGCTCCACGACGAGCAACTGTTTGGTGCAAGGAATGTCGTAAAGGAAGTTTGGTTAAGATTAGGTTCACCTTCGCTCACTTGTGCTTCATATTCATCCATTTTTAAGAGCCAATTACATGGCGCGTCTTCGAAGCCTGTTGTTTTCAGATTTAAAAAAAATACATATTTGTTTGTACAGCAGAGGTAATCCTGTTAGTATTTTATCAAATTATCGATAACTAGATTACAAATAATTTCTTTCTGCTTTAAATGCGAAGTTGAACTTAAAAGATGTTTTGGTTAGATTAAATAAATTGTATTTAAAACAAAATAGTAATTAGAAAAAGAAAATTTAAACCATTTATAATTATAATGGAGCTATTTATTTAACTTTAGCTGTTCTTAAAAATGAATCTATCTGGTAGCTCTATCAGCTGATTGCCAGTGACTTTTCCAGCACTGGCCAACCGGCAAACGTGCATGGCCCATCTGTTGTTATGATTTTGTGGTTACATATTACATCCTAAAACGGAATGCTATCTTTGAATTACACACCAAGGAGCTTAGTTCCGCTGTTCCATCGCTTCACCAGCAAGATTGCCGTTGATGTGGAGCCTGCAGTGTTATCTGGCCTGGAGCAGGCCACTATCAAGCCCAGGAAACACCCTGGAGTGGTAAAACCCAATCATGTTGAGCTGCCCAAACAGTTGAGCGAGACTCTGAAGCGCATCGTAGGCGATTATCCAGCTAAAAAGATTCACCGCGATGGGCAGCAGTTAAACTCATACATTCGATCACGTCACCCGCCACCGTCGCAGGAGGAGATCGAGGCCAAGAAACGCATAATTGTCGAAGAGGTGAACGCTAAGATGCCGCTGGATCGCCTCTCAATGCTGGATGAGGATGAGGGGGCTCGCTGGAAACGTAAACGGGAAGCTGAAATCAACCGGCGACTGGGTCAGCGTATTTACTCTTGGAAGAGTATTGAGTACGGAGCCTACGAGGCCATTGTGTATGCAGTAGCTCGAGGTGCACAGGAGTATGCCGTAATGAAGCGCGTGCTTACAGAGCTTGCCCAGCGGGATGAGAATTTTAGGCCGCGTAGTTTCTTTGACTTCGGATCCGGCATCGGTACTGGGATGTGGGTGGCCAGTGAACTGTGGCGTGATCAAATATTCGAGTATTATAATGTGGACAAATCCCGAGAAATGAATGAGATCTCTGAGCTAATCCTGAGGGATGGCCACGAGAACAAACAGATGTCCCTACGCAATGTATACTACAGACAATTCCTGCCCGCCATCGAAACCCAATATGATTTAGTAATTATATCGCATACTCTCTTTGAATTGGCGAACCAAGAGCAACGGGAAGAGGTGCTACGTAATCTGTGGCGGAAATGTGATGGCTATTTGGTCATTGCAGAGGAAGGGACTCGACGGGGCAGCGAGTTGGTCAATGAGGCAAGAAGATTTCTGCTTAATCAGGAGCAAGAAGGGCACACGGTTGCACCTGTAGGTTATCAATAATCATTTTAATATATGTAGATAGTAAACAGTATTACTTTTGAAACTATTTCCAGTGTCCTCATGATGTTAGTTGTCCGCGCCTAAAAGATTTAGCTGATCGGACGCCCTGCAATTTCCCCATATCATTCGCCCCTCTGCGCTTGGGTAGCGACCATCTGGGAGACCGCCACACATCCCTTTATAGCTATGCCATTCTGAAAAAGGGTCCACCATCGGATACATCTCGCTCATGGCCTCGGATTGTACGGCCTACATTGGTGCGATCGAAACATGCTATCTGCAGAGTTTGTACCGAGGAGGGGAATCTTCAAGAAGTCATATTCACAAAGTCAAAGCATGGAAAGTGAGTAAAGTTTATAATTTTAAAGAAGTTTTTGTTAATTATTTTCTTGTTCCCAGGTCTGCCTACAGTTGTGCGAGAGTAAGCCGATGGGGAGATCGCCTGCCCATGTCACTGGGACAGCCGGCTCTGAAACACGACTCCACAGAATCCCCAACCACAGAAGAGACCAGCATGGCATAGCTTGTTGTATCACTATGTTAGGCATTAAGTTACACCCTGCCCTGCCCGAGTCTAATTGATAGTAAAAACTGGCATCCAATTAGTCGATTTAATTATGTGCAAACAAATCGTTGCGGGCGGAGCTGAAATTAATTAAATAGTTGCATTTAAATTAACCATACAATCCAAATGGCGGAGCATCATGCTCATTGATACTAAATTTCGATGAACGGCCGGGCCAACACACCCTCACCTAGATTTAATGTAAGGCAGAACAAAAGAGGGATGGGTTAGCCCCGGGAGTTTGGGATCAGCTAGTTATATAACGCCACCTGTACATAGGAGTAGCTCTTCGCCAATGGTCAGCGCTGTCAGCACGCCTAGTGTGTTAATGTGTTTCAGGAGGGAGATTCGGGAGGACATAGGAGAACATGGAGGAGTGCCTTCTCATTTCGCACCTATTTCTTAATTTACTCTTCATTTTAAAGTAATTTAATTAATATTTGTTATTTATTTTATAATAAATATATGATTAAGAATATTAAAGTAGAAAACTTGCATTCAAAGTTTAATTTTTGGAAGCATAGTCGACCGTATGTCTGGGCAGAAGTTTCATTTTAGGGGCCAATCCCATTTCGACTGACATTTGGCAATGTGTGCTGGGAAGTATTAATGCAGGACGCGCCCTTTTAACGACTGCGGATCATCCCTGCTGCTCTGTCCTGGGCTCTGCTTGACAAAAAGGGCACATCGTGTTTGAAAAAGGGCAACTTGTGGGGCGCGAAAAGTGGCACTCCGCAACGGGAGAGAGTGGGTGTGTTACTACTAGACTTGGTTTATAAAAATGGTTGTATGGTTTTAAGGATTGGCTGTGGAAATAGGTGTGTCTCAGTGCTGACCGTATGTACATAATGATGGCTTATAAAAAAGAAACAGGCAAAGGACCTCTGGTAACGTCTGCGTAGTTTCCTAAGGGATTTAAATAAAAAGAAAGGTTTGCACTTTCAAATGGGAAGTATATTTAATACAATTTTAGAGGAAGAAAAGTATCAGAAATAGAATAAGTTTTTAACTGATTTTGTATTAATATAATTAACTAGCCACTTAAAGTGCCTTCAGATTGAAACTTTGAGACAAGATCTGTTTAAAAGAGGTACAAGTTATGATTCCTCAAATTAATATTTGTTTTATGAATTATTTAAATAAATTATGACAATATTTAACGCCTTTTAAAACTAGGTTAATTGGCAGACTCTACCCAGTTTAATTTTTCGAGAACCCCACTGCATTTGGGACTCAAATTTAATTAGGAAATGCATTTGCCAAGTCATTAACCCATTTATGGGTGCGTATTAAACTGAAATGGCAGGATATATGACAGGATCCCTCCGTGTCCTGGGTGTTTGCCCAATGATATACGGCCTGGCTATGTACCAATCCGACCGTTCTGACCGAGCACACGTCATGGCGACTGTGGCGACCCTGGGGCCAGGGCATCGCCGCTCTCCATCCTCTATCTAGTCTATGTAATCATTCCAGGTGATACTAGGTGGGGTCGCTAGTCGTTCGTTAAAAGGCGCGTTTACTTATGGTGTCAGCTGTCGCTCCGCTTCCATTTGGCTATTTGTATTAGTAAGGTGCGTCCCACAACAGCCAACAACAAAAACAATTTTAAACGGTGGCGTTTAGAAAGCATGCGCCGCTGTTGCAAGTGGTGCTATGGCTAGTGCTAGTGACCCACCCACCCATTCAGCCAGTCGGCCAGTCATCCAACCCCAACCGAGGCACTCAGCCAACCAGGCAGCCGGCATTGTCAGCTCTTCCTTTTGTTGCGGGTCTCTAATTCTAATATGCTTTCACATACAAATAGACAGATTGTTAGACTACCGCCCGTACGGGTCCGGGTTGATCAGAAGTGGCTACCTAGAAACAGTTCCGAGTTTTGGGCCATCAGTTCGAGTCCGAGCGTGGTCAGGAAAAGTTGCGGTTACGGTTTTACCAATCATACAGTGCCAGTACAGCATACATTCTGGATTTTTAGTGAAGAATCCTTTCAAGCGGCATATTTCATTCGCGCCTGTATCTTGCTGAACCGTTACCAATGTGGCACACAATCCGGTTGAGCAAAATTTCAGGTGTGTGAGAAATTTGTTAAGCAATCATCAAATGATAGTTTCCAGATCCTGAAATTCTGCTATGGTAAGAATACTATGAACGTAAAGTCCTGAAAATTCATTTCATGGTGAGATACAGCAAAAGTTTTCATAAATATAGAAGGATATCCTATAGAAAATTAGTTTTTGTTTAAACAGAAAATTAGTGAAAAAAAACTCATTTTAATAATTGCCATGACAAGTAAATTGTTTCAAAATCACACCATTAGTCATCATAAAAGAATCGTTAAATCTGTGGAAATAAACCGCTTCCGATCTGCCAGAGATTCCGACAGAGATCATGCTTTTATTGCCAAAAGAACACGCGTCAACTGACGATTATCAGCGGGACCCATTTGGGTTCGAGATTCATTGCACCCAATCTGGACAAATCACCCACGACAATGCCTCAGCCATATCACAAAGAAAGTATGTAGCTTTAAAGAAGCCGCTAAAAATTTGGACTTTGCTTGTTTAGAACACATCCAATAACAGTCACCACGACATGGACATGGCACCTGATAAGTCCGAGACCGAGGAAATCTATAAAACTGATCGGTGGGCAGAATGATATTCGCAAATATATTTGAACTAGGTGCGCGATGCGATTAGCTTAAACGAGGAACTCAAACTATTGCCTTGATTTAGTCTAAAGAAAGATGCGTTCCCATGCGCCTTATTTACGATTTCCTATAGCTGTTATATGTCGCGAACGATCGTAAATCGTAATCTTATCTTTGGCTTGGGTGTTCGCCAGCGTGCAGATTGTACTAAAGTTGTGGTCAATATTTAAACTTATCAAACACTTATGTAAATGCTTATTTATACGAGTAGTATTTTTGACGTCTCCGGAAGATTGGTAGGCGTACACTCTAGCCCCCGAGTGTATTCTAATCCCCGGAACCCACTCAGTCCAAAGATCAATCTCCCTCGGAGGCTTACCAGTAGCGACAGCTCACTTGAGAACAAAACCGTGACGTGTTTTAAGATTTTATTTGTCTCCATTACTAGCTTGGAAACATACAGTAGTTCACTATATCAATCGGCTTTTGTTTAGCTCGACTCGAGAAGGGTCAAAGTCCAGTTAGAGGATTGATTCATACGGTCGGGGTTCGTTTGATGAAGCAATTATTACGATAATAACTAAATAGGCACTTATCAAAGTTTTGTTTTACAGGGAAGTCGGGAAGGGAAGTATAGAAATGGAACACATATGCGGTCATCATAGAAAAAGTTAAGAACTGTGATTTAGGTCATTTGGGATAAAAAACTTATTGGGAATATTATTTAAGAAAGCAAATACCATTAAAATTTGATGACGCTGTTGGATGAAGTTCTTCTTTATAAATATACTTTTGGCAAGCGTTGATTAGATTTTAAAGTGTCATTCTTTCTTCTCATTATCAAAACAAATATTGTGAAACTCCCATTAGGTCCAATAAAATCATCTGGATAAGGTGCTTCAAGGTTAAAGTACCTTTACCTTCGGTGAATGCTAATGAATTGCAAGGGTCCAAAGAACGTCGGAATCAGGAAGCTAATCAGCGGAATCATTCTGATTCACGAGCAGGCACAAAGAACCTTATAGATGCCAGAGTGTGGGTGGGCACACATTGTATAAATTACATATGGCATAATAAAACGCCGTGATAATACCGAGCAGGGATAGAACTGGCCATTGTCTCACGGTATGAAACAAAAAAAAGCTGAGTGAAGAAACCGTCGTCGAAACCAACGTTGAGCGAACTTTTTATTACGTATTACGTATACGCCTATTATAGAGCGTCGAAGAAATTCGATATGTGGACTTGAGACCCGATACCGGGAGTCTACACTCTAAGAATACGAAAATTCTATCAAGAAAGAAAAAAATAAAAACAATGGAAACCGTTTTTAAGAATTTAAAAGAGGGTTTTTAAAGAATCAGCATTAGAATCTTATAAAGAATCTATTTTCTACTTTCTTCTCTCTCTCTTATGATAAGAGTCTTATTCTTTTATACAGTACATCTATATAAGCCAACGATTTTTATATAAAATTATAGATTACCTATTTTCAGAAGCATTTATATTTTACGAAATATTTCTAGTGTAACCGAAACGAATCCCGCTCCGTCGTCAAGCGGTTCGATCGGGTAACACCGATCGGAGATCGTACTGCCAAAAACTCAATCAGTTGCCACAGGTGAGTAGTATCTGTGTGCGCATGCAAGCTGCTGGTGTATGGGTGCCTGAGTGGTTCTTATCAACGAAGGAAAACGACAATATAACAACGCCAAAACATTAATAACCAATGCGAAATAAAAGCCAACAGAGGCAAGCAAGTGATCGTCGTGTTAGAGGTGTTAGTTCAGCCACTTTCCAGTCAAGACCTTTTACTTTTATTTGGGAGTTTTTCAACGAACTTTAACCCTTCTGCTTGTCAACACTAACTCTATTTTAATAGCATTCTATGTACCATTTTGCCAGGGTAATATACAACATAAATGTGTAGTTACTCACAATACACCCACAGATTTAATAAATAAATTTAAATGTCAATGAATGAATTTCAGAAATTTAAATATTGTATAAAATATATTTGTTTTTGTTTTGCGACCTTGTTTGGTTTACAATATTATTTGATTAATTTTGTATTTAATTGTTAACATTCCCTTTTCCCAACATCACTGAGCCCCTACGATAAAGCCTGTGTTCAACTCACACACCCACAAGACGTTCGCTCAGATATTTACAGCCGATCGTGTTCTTTGTGAGCGTGTCGTCGCCGTCAGCTGGGAACCGATGAAGCCAGCAGCTCTCCGACTTTTGGGGAACGGGAATTACCATTGCCATATAGCCACAACCAGCGCGGCAGCTAGCTGGGATCACAGTTTGCTTTTCTGACCGTCCAGTCGTGCACGTCGCCTCGAAGACGCCTGATATTCGGTTGCGGGGATCGCCAGTTAGACGGTTTCAATATAGTGCGAAGAGTTTCGATTTCTTCTATAAAAAAAATCCTTGCAAAAGTGCTCAAATCCTGACTCTTATTGAGGGTAAGGATACCAACGAAGTGATTGTTTTCTAAAGCTTAAAAAAATAGATATAGAATTGTACATAAATTATTGAAACTTAAGTGATTTGAGAGAATTTTTAATAAAAATTGATGTAATAAATCAATAAATAAATATCGGGGGAGTTTTAAATAAAATAAAGTGTAACATTGTTTTTATGTTTGACAAAAGTTATAAAAAAATAAAACTGTACCAGAAGATCCATAAAAATAAAAGTTAAGAGACCCTTTTGGCAT